AGAAACCTCATGGATATCTTCCTTGTCCTGTTCACCGCACTCGAATGCATTCTCATCATCCGATTCATCCGGCTCTTCTTCCTCCGCTACTTCCCGACTTTCCTCCTCCAAGATTTTTGCCCTCCTTTGGCAGCCATCGCAGCATGCTATCAACAATTTCTTGAATAAATCCGTCTCGTAGCTTAAAAAAATTTCGCTTGGTGGCGTCTTGATCAAAATGCTTCTATTAAGAACCGTCACTTTCTGGACTAATTTTTGGCTTTACCGATGCAAACAGTGCAAGGTTCACGGAACAACTCAAAGACTGTTTTATTTGGCTTCAGGCCCCTTCTCTTCATGGTTAGGGTGATGATGCCAGCCTTACAACTAGAGCTAATCACACTGATAGTTAGCTTTTTTATTATGCTTTATTGTAAGGCCTGTCACCTAGCCCTTTTTTCCCGCAGTGCCAATAACAAACAAATTTTTTTGAATGCCACGCTTGAAGTAGCGAGCTGAGACGGAACTTACGCAGGGCCAGCCTGCAGGCCTTCCCATTTATTAAAATCAGCAACCGAGCGGGCCTTGTCACGAAGCTCCCTTTCTTGATCCATCACGCGATTGAAACTTTCCTCCAAATCCTCCCTAATCTTCAACGATAGCTTCCTGGGGCGACCACCGCCTTCCATTTCAGTCGATGTCTTCGACCTGGAATTGCAACAGAGTGAGAAAAAACTCAGATTTCGAGAAACTGCGCAGCAAAAACTGGACAAATATGTGCTTTTTTACTTCACTCGTCAACTGCTGGTCAGTGGTTCAGAGTCGAAAGCGTTCTCAGCCGCTGATGCTACTGGCAATGTTTTTTTTTTCGAGTCTTCAAAATCCTTTCATTTCTCAGAGAGAGAGAGAGAGAGAGAGAGAGCGGAAGAAGGCTTTCACTTGGATTTAATTTCTAGGGAAATCGAAGAATTTAATTCCAAGCTTGTCCACTTTTGCCTCCGAGCATTAAACTTAACCCAGAGGAGAGAACGGCTGGTTGAAGCCTCGTTTTTTAAGGAATAAACTTATATGAAATCAGAACTAATTCTTACATAATTTCGCACTAAGTATGGGCCTAATATGTGTGTATATGTGTACATTTAGTAATTAAATATTCCAGAAAGCACAAACTTCCGCGATCGCCTTTTGAAGACTTTGGATGAAGCTCGGGCTCTGTAGTTCGCGGTAAGAAAGGATGTGATTGGTGTCGGCGTATGTGTATTCAAATATGTGCTTGGTTCGAACATCTGCGGCGGAGTATCCAGCGTTATCGACAAATGTATCACTTGGCCTACATTATCCTGTAATGAGATTCAGATTTGGTTTTTCTCAAGTTAGCCCATTATTTCTATTTACAAGCACATTTTTGGATTACCCAGTCTAGATATAAACTCAAGTTTCAAAAGAAAAAAAGGCGAGTATTAATTTTTATGCAATTCTTTGCATGTATGCAATGCAGAAACGCATACTGTCGAAGAGTTGAATATGTATGTGTGTATGTATGTGTATATGTGTGCGTTTATACACCTGAGTCTGTGTGTCAGTATGTGCATCTGTTATCTCAAGACCTACAAAAGTTGCAAGGCTGAAACTCCAACAGCTTAATCTACACCTGTGTGCTAATCTCTAAATTGCGAAATGAATACTCATATCCGCCTGGTTTTCACGTATGGACACGTGAAAGATTTCTTGGTGAAAAGTGACTTCGGGGACCAAGTAAGCTAGAAGGCTGAAACTTTACGAAGATGTCCTTTGCGCACATTTGATCCAAAGATTTCAAATTCAGCCTTCACGCAACTCTGAATCTCACGTACGTGCACGAAAAAGTTTAAATTGGCATCATGCTAACGCGAGAATTAGACTGAGTATAAAGCTGCAGAGAGTTGTAATTTTATGACGTTTTTACCGCCTACTGGTATTCTTGTGAAAGTGAATTGAGTTTTCCAGCTCTTTTGTATCTCACGTTCGGCTGCGTGAAATTTAACGTAGACAATTTTGTAACTTCGGAACTAAAGCAGCTAGAAGACTGAAACTTTCTGTGTATGACCGACGGCAGATTTGGGCAGGTCGACGTGAAAACATCTTTTATATCTCTTTCGTGTCTTACATACGTTTCACGTACGAACACGCGGAATTTGACATAACTCCGCAACGGAAGCAGCTAGAACACTAAAATTTTCCAAGCATAGCCCAGGACCGTGTTTGAAGGACACATAACAATCATTTTTCCGCCCACGCACACCAAGTGGAATTTAACGTAACCCTGCAACCAAAACAGCTAGAGTGTTCAGATTTTTTAAACATGGCTCACGTCCGTGTTTGGGCAGACGCATATGAGAACATTCACGTTTTCCTCCAAGTCCGAACACATGAGATTTGACGTAACACCGCAGCCAGGGCAGCTGTCAAAAATTTCAGAGCATGATCCAAAATCGCCTTTGGTCGGGTGTACTTAAAAGAAACTTTCACGTTCCCCTTATGTACGAACACGTGGAGTTTAACGTAACCTCCCAAATAAAGCAACCGGAGTGTTGAAATTTTCTGAACTTGGTCCTCGAACGTTTGGGCAAGGCGCATAAAGAAATCTCCGTTCCTCTCACGTAAAAAGACGTGAAATTTGACGTGA